CTTAGCCTTAATGATGGTCTTGTAACACAATATGCTACATGCCATGGCAAGCTTCAGTTATAACAGCAATTTGCTGTGGTAGTATGTAGACTAATCATTAGCACTAGTCTTGGCTAGGCGCTCAAATGACGAGCATGGTATTAATACCTAGATATTATGAGATTATCCTGAGATCAATAAAGACAACAAAGTTTGTCCAGTGTGTTATACTACCATGATGTCAGCAGATCAATCAGATGAAATAGCACACCTGAAAGTGATCTGAAATCCATTCACTCCCACCCTCACAGCTTCCAGCTAATGTCAGTGAGACACAGCTGCTGTCATAACCAGATGTCATGCTTCCATGTGCACCTTCTGCCTCGCTCCTGTAATTGTGGCAGAGCCAGAATATATATTTAGAAAGCTAAAGTGAATTTATTTTTTCTTAAACTATTTGCAATTCAGAATTAAGTGAGAAAGATAGGCGACTTATGTGTTTTGAAAGTGTCTTGACATGAGTTATGAATTTCAATATCATCAATAATTGTACACATGGAAGAATTAGAAACTTCCATTACTTGTGATTTATACTGTAAATTGTAAACAAACCACATAAGACTAATGTTGGAGATTTTGATCTCAGTGCCATGGATTATATACCGGTGTAACTCAATATTTACACTGGTGTGAGATCACAGTCAGATCCCTGGATTTGCAATCTCAAATCAGTAAACAAATCTGATAAAACACTTGTTCTTCTGATGACAGAATCTATAGTAACTTCACCAGGTTTATTATATATTTACATCAAAATAAAACTAAAATGTAAAATAATTTGGCTTCAGGATCCTACACTTCACTACAAATTCTTTGTCTGACTTCACTGACAAAACATTTGTTGCTTTAGAGTTTAGATCAAAGAAAACTAAGTGGAAGCTGTTTTCTCTTGATGTTAAGAAAGCTTTTGACATAGACAGTTATGGAAGCAGGAGCCCTGTGATGTGTTCTGGAAATGAGCTGCAGAATAATTTGAAAAGTGCGTTATTTGTGCTGCGTGAGACCTTCATTCTAGATATTGTTATAGGCAGGGCTGTTAGCACCATCTATTAAGGTTACTAATCCTTCCCACTGTAAGAGCCAGTTTTCAGCTGATTATTACTTTGCCAAACTTTAGCCATTCTGGATGAAATTTACATGCCTCGTCTCTGCCTCAGCCTGGAAAATTTCAGCCAAAACGTTTCAGCCAAGAACAAGAACAAGGCTAGGGGAAAATATGCTGTTTTTCCCATGTTAAAAAAAATCTGGCAAGCTTTTCTTTGAATAGCTCTATCTCCCACATGTTTTGGAGCACAGACCTGAAATTTAGCATCGGGGTTGCCTTTGTATCAGGAATATGCCTTTTGCCATGTCTATGAAAATCTGTCCAAATTTGATCACAAGTTATAAGATGTTGAACAATCACAATTCTCATACGCTCAGTAGAGACATCTTCCATTTTAGCTTAAAAAATTCTGAAGATTCTGCCCTCACGGAGCATGCTCATGCTTCTCACAGCTCCTACTGCTGTCCAGATTGAGAATGCAATGCTCCATCCCCTCACAGCTCCTAGGTGTGACCAGATTACATGTGCCATCCCCATAGTGTGACTGAGTATGTGTCCTCCAGTCCAGAGCTACAGAGACAAAACTGGACTTTCCCTGTAATGGCTGCTCCAGGTCAGGGTGGGGCTGAGCCCTGGAGCTGAACACAGGGAGCCTGTCTCTCCTGTGATCATCATCCCCCCCTCGCCCCCCCACCCCCAGCCCTCCATGGAACCCAAGCTGCATGGAGAAGGAATCTGTCTAATTCAAATGCAGAGGAGGAAAAAGCCTTGTGAAGATATTGCAGTGGAATAAGTGAGACAGGGTGCTGGTGCAGATACATATAAAAGGTGGAGTGTGGCTCACGGGTCAGATACAAGTTAATTATCGTGTATGCGGATTGGATGTGGATCCAAATTTTTGTATCCATGCAGGGCTCTAGAAATGTACTCCAGAGTGTCACAGCTAAATAGAAGGTAGAACAGATTGTTTAGCATAAGTAATTAAAACTCATTTCAAGGGACCATTCAAGGTGAAGTGGCCAGTTAACACCTGTTCAGTCATTGGGAAAAAAAGGAGGGGGAAAGCTGGGGGGGGGGGGGGGGGGAGGTTAGTGGGTTATAGATTGTTGTAATAAGCCATAAATCCAGTGTCTCTATTGAGTCCATGATTTTTAGTATCTAGGCTCGTCTTTTGAAGGTGTTGTGCAGGTTTCCTTTCAGGATGATGACTACACAGCAATAAAAAACCCATGGCTGGCCCATGCCAGCTGACTCGGGCTCACGGGACTTGGGCTGAGGGACTGTTCCAGTGCTCTGTAGACTTTTGGGCTCAGGCTGGAGCCTGAGCTCAGGGACCCTCCCACCTCGTAGGGTTCTACTGCCCAGGCTCCAGCCCAAGCCCAGAACAGCAATGTAACAGCCCCATAGCCTGGGCCCTGTGAGCCCGAGTTGGCTGGTATGGGCCAGCCACGGGTATTTAGTTGCTGTGTAGACATACCCTAAGAGATCAGATATAGAGTGATCGGTTTGTGAAAAGCGTTCGCCCACAGGTCATAGGATTTTTTTTTATCATTTTTCTGTGAGAGTTCATGTGAGAGCATAGTGATTGTCTCATTTCACCCACACAGTTGTTACTGGGGCATTTAGTGCACTTGATGAGGTACGCCACCTCATGGAACCGTCATGGGTACTAGGATGGTTCCCCAATATACCAACCTCTTCATGAGCCACCTTGAAGAATTTCTGGACAAATGCACCATGAAAGCAATGATGTAAACATTTATGATATTTTCATCATCTGTTCCATCTTCTATTTAGCTGTGGCACTCTGAGTACATTTCCCAAACCTGAAGAAGAGCTCAGGGTAAGCTCAAAAATTTGCCTCTCTCACCAACAGAAGTTAGTCCAATAAAAGATATTGCCTCACCCGCCTTGTCTCTCCTAAACCTAAAATGTATACAAATGAATTGTCGGGCAACTAAACTACTGGCACTTCTTTGAGGCAACTTTAAAACACGTCTGGTCATGAATGAATAGTTGAGCATTGGGATCGAATTTATTTGACTTCTCAGTTACCTATAATTTGTATTTCATGCCTAGATACCAGGCTACTTTAAAAACGGTTGGATAATCTATGAAAGCATCTCTGCCAATTGTAAATAGCCAGCTAAGTTCTTTCCAGTTGTATTAAAATTTACCAAAAATGCCGGATTTTGTGTTAAAAATAAGTGGAGCAACTCCCGAAATGCTGCACAGTGTGTAAATTAGAAGTGAACCATGCAGAAAAAATCCAGGCAGGTGGTTTTTTTGTTGTTATTCTTCCCTTTCTTCACTCTTTCAAAAGTAATTTCCTTTTAACTGTTTTTCATAATTGGTTTCTCGTTCAAATAAAAAGGAGCTTTTTAAGTATGAGAGGTGTCAAGCACCCAGCTCTGGTCAATCTGACCACAAGATCAAGGCCAGTTGTTCTGAATACTGACTGTAAAAATAGCACTGAAATACCACTGTATTTCAAAGACCCCAGATAAAACTTTCTCAATTTGAAAGTAAGTTGTTTTTTTCTAATCCCAGTTTGTAAATTTACCCTGGAATCTGAGAGTCAAGCTAGGTTCTTTTTGGCTTAAACCCCGTCACCAATGATTCTGCATCTCCATGGTAGTTAGCAATATTCCTGATGATGTGCTAAATGAGCAGAATCCAGCTCCCTCTTCCACAGCCATTCTTTACTAACAGGAATAAAAAGTAGTAACATCTTAATTTTCTAAGCAAATAAATCAATTCAGACTGGAAAAAAACCTGCTATGAAAGAACATACAATTTTTAGAGTGATTTTTTTTTTACTATAATTCCACTTTAAGGCTCCAATATTCTGCTTAATTCATCAGGTCCATGTGCAATTTGTATTAATAAATAGTTTATATTGGTTGGCCTGGACACTGCCTGGGTACAGTGGACCCAGCTTGTTTCTATAGCCCCCTCCTATACAGTCCCCATGCCAACACAAAGATCTCCTCCCAGCCACCTACACCCAAAGCCCCCAAATTTCCCTCATCTGCACAGAAACCCCTATACAACAATCCCCCATCGGTAGTGGAGGCAATTTGTGCAGGTCCCTCCCCCATTCTGGGCAAAGTCACTGTGAAGAAGTGGGCTGTAGCCCACGAAAGCTTATGCTCTAATAAATTTGTTAGTCTCTAAGGTGCCACAAGTACTCCTGTTCTTTTTCCGGATACAGACTAACAGGGCTGCTACTCTGAAACCTGTGGGCACACAGTGTTCTCCCCACCATGCAGCCCCCTTCCCTAGGCTGTGCAATGCCCCTAACTGCATACAGCCCACCCCACCCCCCTCCCCGCTGTGCAGTGCCCAACGTGCACACAGCTCCCCCTCCCCCCCGCTGTGCAGTGCCCTGCGTGCACACAGCTCCCCTCCCCACCTGCTGTGCAGTGCTTGCCTGCACACAGCTCTCCTTCCCCGCCTCCTCGCTGTGCGGTGTCTTGCGAGCACACATCTCCCCTGCCCCGCGCTGTGCAGAGCCCTGCGTGCACACAGCTCCCCTCTGTGCAATGCCCTGCGTGCACACAGCTCACTCCCCCCCCTCCGCTGCTGTGCAGAGCCCGTGTCCCTCCCATGCGATGCACACTGTGCGTACACAGCCCCCCGTGCAATGCCCCTGTGGGCACAGAGCCTCCCCCCGAGCAGTGCCCCTCGGGCTCACCCAGCCCACGCACCCTTTGCGTAGCAGGCGGGGCTGCCCCTAACTCGGCAGCCAGCGTCCCTGCCTCCCTCCTCACGGCGGGGCTGGCGGCGCCCCCCGGCGCCTCAGAGCTGAGCGCGCCGCCCCCAGGCCCCGAGCCGCTGGGCGGAGCCGCCCGCCGCTCTCTCCTCCCTGCCGTCACTGCCGGCCTCCCCCCGCGTCCCCCTCACTCGCTCCCGGGACATCCGGGCCGTCGCTGCCGCTCAACTCCGCCGGGCCCGGAGGGGCCCAGCCCGCCGCCCTCCCCCGCCGCCGGCGGCCCGGCCTCCTCCCCTTGCGCGCTGTGCTGCCCGGCTGGCGCGCCGCGAGCCCAGCATGGGGGGCAGCCGCTAGGGAGCCCCCTGCTGCCATGCAGAGTCCCGCTGCCCGGCCTGGGTGAGGGGCCTGCAGCAGCACCTGGCAGAGAGACCCTGGGCCCGAGGGGAAAGGTGCTGCCTCCATCCAGCAGGAGACAGCCCTGCCCCACTCCGTTCCCCCTTGGGTAGGGGCCAGCTCCACCTGCTGTTTGGCCCTGACACCGAGCCAGTGCCTGGGCCATGTTCCCACGCCCCCTGGCCCCGGTGGCAGTGCGGGGTGCAGAGATGGGAGCCACCTCCGTGCGCCGGGCCGCAGTGCCTGCCAGGATGCGGGGCGGCAGTGGCACCATGCTGTTGCCCTCCATGCTCATGTTTGGGGTGATTGTGGCTTCCAGTGGCCTGCTGCTCATGATTGAGAGGGGCATTTTGGCAGAGGTGAAGCCACCACCACTCCATCCCCCACATGGAGACCTCGCTTGGAGGAGCAGCGGTGACACCAGGGCAGTGGCCTCCGAGGACATGGATTACCAGGTGCTACAAGATGTTCGTAACCGGACAGTCCGCACCATGTGTGGGCAAAAGAACATGCCTCATAGCATCTGGGAGCTTTCAGCAGGTCAGAGGAAAACCGTGCTCAGACACATCCTAGTCAGTGATAAATATCGCTTCTTATATTGCTACGTCCCCAAAGTCGCCTGCTCCAACTGGAAACGAATACTGAAAGTTTTGGCTGGAGCGCTGGAGAATGTGAATGTCAAGCTCAAAATGGACCACAAGAATGACTTGGTTTTTCTTGGTGACATGAAGCCAGATGAGATCAGCTATAGGCTAAAGCATTACTACAAGTTTATATTTGTTCGAGACCCGATGGAGAGACTTTTATCAGCTTATAGGAATAAATTTGGAGAGATCAAAGAGTACCAGTTAAAGTATGGCGTGGAAATAGTAAAAAGATACCGAAAAAGCCCCAGAAAGTCCACGGGGGATGATGTCACCTTTTCTGAGTTTCTCAGGTACCTGTTAGATGAAGATGCAGAGAGAATGAACGAACACTGGATGCCCATCTACAACCTATGCCAACCCTGTGCGGTGAGGTACGATTTCATCGGATCATATGAAAGACTGAATGTGGATGCAAATTACATTCTTGAACATGTTCAAGCACCTTCTTTTATCCGTTTCCCAGAACGACAATCATGGTATAAGCCTGTGACTCGGGAAACTCTACATTACTATCTGTGTAACACTCAACGTGGGCTTATAAAAGAACTGTTACCAAAATACATTCTGGATTTCTCATTGTTTGCCTATCCTCTTCCAAATATTACTAGTGAATTTTGCAGACAGTGAACTTTTTCTATTTGCGGGCTGGTCTATGCTAGAAACTTACGCTGATAGAATAATGTTGTGCAACATTTTTATACTGGTAGAAGCTCTAGTGTAAGCAGTTGTATTGGCATAAAAGTACTTTTGCTGGTGTAGATTATTTCACTCAATAACCTGTATAAATTCTACTGGCAAAAATACTTTTATGCCAGCATAAACTGCGGCTACACTAGGGCTACGTCTTCACTACAGGGGGGGGTCGATTTAAGATACGCAAATTCAGCTACGCGAATAGCGTAGCTGAATTCGACGTATCGCAGCCGACTTACCCCGCTGTGCGGACGGCGGCAAAATCGACCTCCGCGGCTTCCTGTTGACGGCTCTTACTCCCACCTTCGCTGGTGGAGTAAGAACGTCGATTCGGGGATCGATTGTCACGTCCTGACGGGACGCGATAAATCGATCCCCGAGAGGTCGATTTCTACCCGCCGATTCAGGCGGGTAGTGTAGACCTGCCCTAGGAGGGTTTGCTGGTATAGCTACACTGGCAAAAGCTACGCTTTTCTAGTGTAGATGAAGCCTGTGAAGTAATGCGTGTCCTATGCACGTTTCCTAATTTTATACTTTTTAAACCTTTTAAGATATCATATGATATATAGCCTTTACAACTAGAATATCTTTTACCTTTGTATTGTTCCAATTTTACTATGTCTATGTGCCGCTGAGTTAAGCACAATAGCTTTTATATATCTGTTTTTTAAAAACTTCTCTCTACAGCACAAGACAGTGAATATATGCAAAAGAATCAGGGAATGGATATATTTTAAGCACAAAGCATTGTTCTGTTTTTGTGGTCCAGGTTACATTTTCTGGGGCAGAATTACCCACAGCATCAACTGTATTAGCTGTTTTTTAAAGAGTTACTGCAGGATAGTTAAATTGTTCCTAGGTTGAACTGGTGGAAGCAGTGATGGGAAATTTTGAGAGAAAAGTCTTTTGTAAACTAGGCCTGAGTATCCATAATCTTCACACTTGTTGAGTGCATCTAAAGCTGACAAGTCAGTTCTTGTTCTGTGACGTAGCAGTGCCTGGGTTGTGGAGTATTTTATTTCAGTATTGAACCAATGTCGTATTCATAGAAAAAGTTAATGTTTTCCTCTTGATACAAGATGTTAATTCAAAGACAATTCACTGTTCATTTTATTTTGTGTGATTAAAGATCTGAGAGTATCAATTACTTACATAGCGAAACTAACATTTGGTGCAGCAATGTATTTATTACTAACAAATTCTTCTTTTGCCCCTCTTTTTTAAAAAAAGTTATTAAAATCAAGAGCTTCTCAGCCCTTGTAACAAAATTTAGAAAATAGCTTATAGTGGTTATTTACAGCCTATGGAGAAAAAACAAGAAAAAATGCTTTATGCAGCTGCATTTGACGCTACTGTAAGTAAATGCTCAGTTCTGCTTTTTATATGTGCATGACATTTTCATAGCTATTTATATGTAAGAATTATGATTCAACTTTAAAAGTGTGGATGATAATGTTCAAATTTGTTCATGACAGTTTATATAGTAGCTGCATTTTTAATACAATTTATATATAAATTATTCTGTGGCTTGGTGCTTTTTTCTTTTAGTCATGGATTGTTGTTGTTATTATTTATTTGTATTACAATAGCAGCAGTGCTCCATTGTGCTAGGTACTATACAAACATATAACACAGGGGTCGGCAACCTCTGGCACGTGGCTCGCCAGGATAAGCACCCTGGCAGGCCGGGCCAGTTTGTTTACCTGCCGCATCGGCAGGTTCGGCCGATCACAGCTCCCACTGGCCGTGGTTCGCCATCCCAGGCCAATGGGGGCTGCGGGAAGCGGCGAGGGCGAGGGATGTGCTGGCCGCGGCTTCCCGCCTCCCCCATTGGCCTGGAGTGGTGAACTGCGGCCAGTGGGAGCCGCGATCGGCCGAACCTGCCGACGCAGCAGGTAAACAAACTGGCCCGGCCTGCCAGGGTGCTTACCCTGGCGAGCCACGTGCCAGAGGTTGCCGACCCCTGATATAGCAAATAAACAGTCCCTGTCCTGAAGAGCTTACAATCAAAGAGTAAGACCAAAGAGAACAAACAGGTGAATAAAACAAACAGATGAGGGGGAGAACAAGGAAACAATTAGATAATACTAGTCAGCATGAAAAGCAGTGGATACAGCAAACCATATGCCTAACCATTGTCCAGTTAACCTAGAGTGATGTAGATAGATGTTAAGATACATCATACAGTTTTTTATTTCCTGGAAGCACCTTTTTGTAATGTGACAGGCATTTTAAAAAAAGTTCTTTATAACTTTTTAAATACTGCCACCTCTGTAGCTAGATGCACAAGATGTGTTAATATTCACTGTACATATATGGCATGTCTCCTAGCAGTGTGGCCTATAAGGCTGTCCAAGGGAAGTGGTATAAGCCCACATTTCAAGCAAGCCTGGACGAAAGCACTAGGATATATACTGTGAGGAACAAGGCTGCACAGGAAATTAACTAAGTGACCTAAGAGCTTTCTATATTTTGACATTTTATGGGTGAAATCTGGCTGTGCTGAAATCAAAGGCAAAATGCCCATTGACTTTAATTGAATTCCACTTTGAATGAATTCCACCTTGGCTGGGTGACAACAGTGACCAATACATCAGGGCCGGCTCTACCATTTTTGCCGCCCCGAGCAAAAACAAAAAAAGCAGCTCGGACTGTCGCCGCCCAAACTGCCGAAGCGCCAAAAAAAAAAAAAGCCGCCCGGACTCTGCCGCCCCAAGAATGGACAGAATGCCACCCCTTAGCATGTGCTGCCCCAGGCACATGCTTGCTCCACTGGTGCCTGGAGCCGGCCCTGCAATACATACATATATTTCAAAATACTAGCTGTAGTCCCTCCCTCTAAATCTACTCTGTTTTTCTTTACCCTGTTTGTTTGCCTGTCATATCCACATCCTTCAATCAGCTTGGATCTCACAGATGTGGTTAAGTTGTAACCTTAGTTATTCCTGAGACGCTCCATTGATTTCAGTGGGAATGCACAAACGTGATGGACGATAGAATTTGGATCTTGGTGTTGGAATTTATCGAAACTTCTGGAAATGTCTGGATCATTTCCCAGATAAAGGCAGCAGATATTAGTCAGGAGTTTTTGTAAAATGGGTGTAAATGATGGAGAAAGCAAGTGTAATTAATTTTGATCTCTGAATTTATTTAATTGAATACACTGGATGGAACTTACTCTCCCTCTCCCCCCCGTTCTATACCTACATCTATGAAGGCTGGGGGATTATCACAAAAATGTTCTCTTGTTTGGCTTTTTGCTTTTTACTACAAAATTAATTTAAAATAGTTTTAAAGGTTTAAAATGCTTGTTGGTTGCAGCTTCCCCTCTCTAGACAAGATTTGGTTTATGCCCACAGAAGGATCAGTGTTTTGCTTTTCTTTGAATCTCAATCTCCTGTGCATTTGCTCCTGTGCATGTTATCAATCCCCTTTTTTCCATTTAAGCCAAGAAAATTACCCCCCCCCCTCAAATTTTTTTTTCTATGTTAATGCAGTCAGGAAATTCAAAGTTTGTTACTCAGAGCATGAGCATAATTCTGCCACTGAATGTGCTATAAAATATACACAGATATGCAAAATGCTGCATAAATTTAAGGGAGACAAGTTATGGTTGCTGCGATAAACCAAACTTGATTTCCCTTACTTTGTCAGGATTGCAGTCTATCCTGGCATTATTGATTCTGTTTGCTTTTAATTCAGCATACTGCAAACTGTGGTCCACTGATCACAAAAGTGAAGAATCAGTCAGTATTCAATTAATGATACTTCCTGGTCCTGTTGTCCAAGGTTTTTAAGATTTCCTGAAGCTTTTTTGGACAACTAAGAACAAAAACATAAGCTCCTTCTGCCTGCCCCATGTCTTTCTTTTGTCAGGTGTTTCTTTGCTGCAAATTAAATCATGATCAAATGTTGTAAATGATATCAAAATAGTAGGGGTAGCAAACACAGAGGAGGCTAAAATTAAGCTGCAGGCAAACCTGGAAAGACTAAAGCTGTGGAGGATGCAAGTAACAAGGGGGGCTTTGGTGCTAATAGAAGTAAAACTGTTACCAGCTAAGTTCCAAAGGGAGAGGACATAACCAATTAGCCACTAACTGCTTTAGTGTGTTCAGTTTGTTTTAAATGTTTCTTCTTTCTGGCACTGTTCTAAATTGGCAGGATTAAATAGCTGGTTGCTCCTCATTACTTTCAGTAGTGGTGTTTGTTTCTTTTTCTTCCTCCCTACCTCACTCCTTGCACTCATCAAGCACAATAAAAAGCTATCATTTCTATTACTAATTATTTCTTTGTTTAACCTGAACAATGTACTTAGTGTTGCACAATACACAAAAAGAAACAGCTCTCATCTGCCCTAAAGATTTTACAATCTAAAAAAACTTTTCTTAGTAGAATAATTAGACAGATACTTTTAAAAAGAGACAGATTAAGTAACAAGACACTAGAGAGACGAGTGGGAAAGAAATTGCTCAGATCAGAAAAGGCCCTGCAGTAAGGACAAGCCTAAACTGAATTCTTGTCAAGAACCAGTCTATGTCAGCAATGAAATGTAACGAAAGTATGAACATGGCCCCTTGAATTCTGCAGCGCTGCAGTTCCACTTTTTGCAGTAAGGGAAGGGGAATTTCTGCATCAGCAACTTGAATATGCTGTACCCCCTCTAGCTATAATAAGCATTAATCAGTGTCTCATAACACAAGAGTCAAGAGGAGAGAAAAGAGAAGTTGTGCAACATAGTTGCCAGATTTTCACTAGTTTTTATGACTGGTACTGAACTCCGCTTTCTCTAGAACATCAGCTAGCTATGGGTGCGGAGCATGAAGTGAGCGTGACATGCCATCCTTCAGACCTTTGGCCTGATTCTCCCCTTACACCAGTTTTAGTTCCTGATCCTGCAAATTGCTTTGCATAAGCAGATCCTTGTGCGGCCAGCTTGCAGGATCAGGATCTAAATTGGGAATAAAATTCTGATCCAACACCCACTGAAGTCAATCAGAGTCTTTTCATTTACTTCAATGGGTACTGAATTGGGCTTTAACTTCATTGAAGTCAACAGAGTTATTATACAGTACCATTGTAAAACTGGTGTAAGTAAGTGGAGAATGGGGCCCCTTGTGAGGACAAGCAATTATGAAGTCACTGACTACTAGTGAAATTCTATTTGTGCCTGCAGACAGAACTGTTTGGTCTTAAAGTGTACTATAGAGGC